GGAGGTGAGCGGCCGCTGGCGGCAGCGGGTGGCCCTCACAGGAGGCCCGTCCGGGACTGTTAGATGTTGATGCTCGAATGCGATGCAAACCGGTGGAGGAGGTGCCCGTCCGCCCGTCCGGCCGGCCGCCAGGCCGTCCGTTTAAGTGCGTGTTTAATTTGCACAGGCAGCAGTGCTGATGGCATGATTAATATACTGCAAGAGAGCAGTGGACAAGACGTCCTAATTGGTATTTAACTGGAGCGTTCCAGCAGATTAAGACTTTCTCTGGCGGCAGAAGGACGCAGGCCAGTCAGTCCCGGGCACAGCCTCTGGGCTGGAGGGCCCCAGGAGGCCAGGGCACAGGAGCCGCTGGCTGGACAAGTTCTGCGCTGGGCTCCTTCCCCACGTCTCAGCCCCTGTCCCCAGCCCCCCACCCGACCCTCAACAGAGCAGAGAACCGAAGGCTGTCTGACCTGGAGGCAGGCCCCCTGGGGTGTGCCACCTGCACTCCACTGAGCTGGGGCCGGGCCTGGGAGCCAGCGGTCACAGCTTCTCCCTGGAGACCACAGGGCTCCTCTCCTGTCCTCACCTTGGCCTCTGGTTGCAGGTGGTTAAGGGAATGAGCTTGATGAATGGAGGGGTCCATTTGTCCCATTCAATCATTCATTCATTCCCCCTGGACCAGGCACTGTTTAAAGAATTCAGATCCTCCAGGATCTCAAATTCCAAAGCAGCAGGGCCTTCTCGGGTGGGCTGAAGCAGGGCTGTGTGCGAAGCGCTGTCCATGCACAGAATGGGAGTTGGCTACGTCTGTCTGGGAAGGTCTGAGAATTTTGATGGCTGAGGTGACTTTCCCTTGGGCCTTGAAGGATGTATAGGAGTTCTTCAGACCAGAGGTGTGTTAAGAGGATTCCAGGCCAATTGAGAATTTAGCATCTTATATTAGTTGTAAAAGAGATCATTTGAAGGGGTCAAAGAGAGGGTATCCCCCAAAATGTACACACACTTAAGTGATTATAAAGTCAGTGTTTATTAACATACAGTTCATTTTTCAAAATCTAAAAGAATCTACAGAAATTAATAATTTTTTGTTAATGAGTTTTCAAATGGGTGACTGTTCTGGTCCAGGCACTGCTGATACGTGAAGCAATGGAATCGCAAACATCAAGAATTGTTTTGTTCAGTATTAGTACTGTAAGCTTTATCTTATGTATCCCCATAAAAAATCTAGTGGGTAAATGTTCTTTGTTTAAAGCTTAGTTTGGCTTCACCTATTATTTCAAATCAGTTACACCTGAAAAGGAGTAAAAAGTGAGTTATCAGGATGCCCCCCAAAATATATCCACACTTGGAATAGTTACAGAGGCAGTGTTTGTACTTCA